GCGTCGTATCAGTACTTATTTGAAAAATTGTGTTTCTGCGCTTGACACTCGTATCCATGTCAATGCTTCCTAGATGCCTCCAAATAAACCCGAGCATTTCATATCCAATTTTACTAGAGAAAACATTTGATCATTCAATATAGTGATACACCAAAATCTCATCAGAAGATACAACAATCTGGTGATACATGGACAATTATAAAAGTGAAAAGTTGCACGATGAATAGATGATCATATAGAGGTCAACAAACCTGTGCCTCAGGGCATATGTGGCCTACGACATATCCATGTGAGCCTCCAGAAAATCGTCCATCAGTCAGCAAAGCAACCTCCTGCATGCCGGTGAAATATACAAAATAATTTTTTTGGCAACAAGATGTCGACTTGAACCAATGAAATACATATTGGAAAGCCATTGCAAGAGAGAATATTGTAATAAACAACATATATCTTGTAACATCACACGCATCATATACAAAGAAAAGATTATTGGATAAAAATAAGAAACAAAAGAAATATTACAACCTAGAACCTAAAGCAGAACATTACATACCTTTCCAAGACCTGCCCCCATTATTGCACTGGTTGGGGTCAGCATTTCAGGCATGCCTGGTCCCCCTTTGGGCCCCTCTCCTCTAATAACAACAACTTTTCCCTAAAACATGACAAATGTTAAGTCAAAAGAACATTCATACTGATCTATTTAAATTCAACCAAAAAAAGAAAAAAAGAAAAATCTATTCAAAAGATAAGCTCAATGTAGAATTTGGTATTGTGAGAACCAAGAAAAGGCAACCTGGCTTCTCAGATTATACAGCCAACTACAATATTGAATATAACGAGGGTATTATACTCGAGAAAGAAAGTAAGTGAGAGCATTGATTTTTTTGTCCTTTTAATATGCAGACATAACGAGTTTTGCAATATCATTTACTGTGAGTGGCAGTAAATCCATCCAGAAATTATTCTCCTTAATTGGACAAATTTCACACTTTTCCAAATCTCAAGCCGGCTAGCACTCGAAGTACGTAAAACTTAAAAATAACATCAAAAGGAAACGAGAAGCAAGGTGCTGGAGATCAAGATAGAGATAAATATTATAAAGACAGTTTTTGATAGGAAGTTAAATTAGAGTGTGATTCAACTTAGATTAAATGATTTAATATTTTGATAAAGTTCTAGACAAGTAGAAATTCTTTTGAATTTAGTTTCTGGCTCTACAAATAAAGAGTTTATTCAATGTAATAGTTAACCCTTGATTATATGAATAAGAATTGATTTCCTTTACCCTCAATTCTTCTCCTATTTGTACCCCTTTCTCTTCAGGTTCTTAATTATTTGTCAAATATACGCTCCCGTGTCACTAGGAGAGGGGAGGGGAGGGGGAACTAGGTAAGGGATTTACCTATCCCTTTTGCGAGGCAAACATTCATAAAATGGGAGGAAATATTAGTATTGTGAATAATAATAAACTCCTTGCCAAATTGTCATCTAATGCCTTTCACCTTTGAGTTGAAAGTGAAGGACAAAAAACTTAGGAGTGGAACAAGCGCAACTAAGTTTTCCATGAAAGTAGATAAAAAGAGGAAATTGAGTGTTACATTACTAAACATGGAAGACCAAGTAGACAAGCTTCCCAAGAAAGGAAGTCCACTAAGTTCATAATGATGATTGCTTCTCACATGAAAAACTTATTCATCAGTAGAACACCATTTTCCATATCAAAAGCTAATCCCCAGGATAATAAAGGGAAGAATGCATGATATAAATGTACTCGGTATATGGAATACTCATTATATGCCAGGGACTGATCTGATTTCCATTTCACATTATTGTCATTACCATGTATCGGTGCAGCCCATACAAAATTACATATGGAGAAAAGGAGGCGATTAGTCTCACCTTAAAACTCTGAGGATTTTCTGAGATAGCTGCAATCATGGATTCTTCTCCTTCAAAGACAAGTGCGGGGCCTGTTCAATAAAATTCTCACAATCATCACCCATTAAATATTGCAGATAAGTTTAAAGACAGAATTATCTGAACAAAAATCCATCAAGTGAAACACATCACCTGAGAAATATAACCCTTCTTTCCCCGTGATCTTTGCCACAGAACCCTCTGGTGCAAGATTTCCGTATAAGATCTGAATGTGTCCCGTTTCCTTAATGGGGTTCGTCAATGGTCTTATGATTTGCTGGAAATAAAAGACAAATGACGGCATTTACTATTGCCTCAAATGCATACATCAGCAAGTTAAACTGAATAGGGCAGAGCAAGCCTACCTGACCTTCAGGCAAGGATGGATATAGTTTGGCATTCTCGGCCAATGTCTGTCCCGTAACTACAGAAAGGAAAGTATTAGAGCTAGACTTCAGGCAAGGATATATATAAATCACATTCTTGGAAAAAAAAAAAAATTCAGGGTACTTGCCTGTAATACAATCTCCATCTAAAAACCCAAGCTCCAATAAATACCTAATGATTGCAGGAGTACCTCCAATCTATAATAAGAACATTTTAAAAGAAGAGAAAAATATATGGTGAATGATGACTCGCAAATTTATATGGAACTACACTAGAATAGAAAACAAACACTTGGGGATACCTTGTGTATGTCCTCCATTACATATTTGCCACTAGGCTTAAGATCTGCAAGGAATGGAACCTTATCGCTGACCTTTTGGAAATCATCCAGCGTTAACTGCAAACCAACAGACCTGCCAAAATTCTCTATGATACACTCGTACAATCATGGTTATAGTGATAATCCCGAACAAGGTATAACTGACCTTGCAATGGCAATTAAATGTAAAACAGCATTGGTAGAACCACCAAGTGCCATGACCATAACCATTGCGTTGTGTAGGGATTTTGGAGTGATAATGTCTCGAGGTTTCAAGTCCATCTTAATTAAATCTTGCAGATGCTTCCCGGCAAGGCGGCACTCATCCAGTTTCAAAGGGTCTTCAGCAGGCGTAGAAGAACTTTTTTGGTAACAAAAAATAAAGATGATTTCAATTATCAATGTCAGAGATCAATCAACTAGTTCAACAACTATGTAATTGTATGATTCTACCTGTAGGGAAGAGACATTCCCATTGTCTCAATAGCAGAAGCCATAGTATTTGCAGTATACATTCCACCACATGCCCCTGCTCCTGGACATGAGTTACGAACTACATTTATTCTTTCTTCGTCACTGATTGAACCACTCACGTACTCTCCATAAACCTACACGTTACAAAATTTCAATAATTAGTTTCTATGGTCATTGAAGGTAGTAACCTACCAGAAGAGATAACAAGAGCAGCTCTGACAGCAGAAAACAGAAAAAAATGCCACAAAAAAAAAAAAAAAAAAAAAAAAAAAAAAAAAAAAAAAGAAAAGAAGAGGACGACTTGTGCTCACTGCTCAAGCATCAAATTTACTTTGCCAGAGAAATGGAATGACAAATTTGCTCCACTAGTTACACACAACTATATGACGATTAATATCATTGGGAGATGAATTTTGTCTTTTTTACAGTTACTAATTATTATATTTCTGAATCTTGGACAAACTGAGAAATTGTCTTTATCTTCTCACCATAATAAAAGAAATAAGAAGGTTAATTATTAAAAGAGCACAATGCATAAAGGGCAACATATTTGTTTCCACAAGGCATTAGAGCCCCCTGTGGGTAATTGTCTTTATACTTCTTAAGTTTTAGCCAAGGATCTGTTTAAATCTTATACTTCTATTTAGGATCCTGTTATGTAAAGAAAGAAAATATTTACTACTGCATTCACATTAACTTGGTCATCACCTTAATATAAAGATCTTACCTATCAAGCTTTATATGTTAAGCTTAATTTTTCTTCCAAAAGCCTGTTATATCTTCAAAACTATTAATAGACTAAGTTTCTTGTACTTGCTTCACACTTAGAAATGCTCGTAATCCTTCACAGGGATAATCGAATCATAAGCTTCCCAAACATTTTGCAACACAGACTAACAGAGACAGATGCTCAGAGGTCCACTAAATCCTTTTGTCTTCCTTTTCATTTTATGTTAACATCCAAGTTCAAGATTTTCTGCCTATTATAACTCTTCATGAACAAATTCTTCATTTTAAGTCTATAAGCATTTCAATGCTCAGAATTTTTCAAATGAAGCTAAGAAATTTCGCATAAAGTAGACAGTCTCCACAGTATAATACAAACCCTGATATAATACACTAAGTTAACACTTCTAATATAAAAAGACGTTTATAAACGATATTGATTGTCGACAGTTGCGAAGCCACATGATGTCTTGGGCAACACAAAAGTTTGGAATTTCTTTTTTCTTTTTTACTCTTCCCCAAAATTTAAATTTTTATTCCTCTCCTCTTTTTAACTGTGCATAAAGTTTTCCTCAAGGTCCCAAATTTGAAATCATTAGTTAATTGATCATTCTTAATCTAGAGTTTGTCAATTCCATCAAAATCTAAAGTTTGCCACCAGTCTTGGTATGTTGAAACTTGAACGAAGTTAGTTCCTCAAGAATTTCATAATTTATAAAAGATAATAGTTACAACATATTAATTATTAGAGTGTTGACTGTACTTCCAAACACCAGTAAATGATTCCAAGCGAGGAGCAAAACTATTGGTAAACAATATTCTCATCCATGCACATACCTGGAAGGCAGATATAATGTCATATGTGTGACCTCCAAAATGACCAGGCTGCACATGAGACCCACATTACAAAGAATCAGTACTAGTCTATTCAGAGGCAAAATCTTATAGGACACATACAAAGATCTCCACTAACATCCTTCTATATCACCAAATTAGTAAATTTTCCATTCTCCGTCTTTGTGGCATTCCTGTCTAAAAATTCTGCTACACAATCACCAGTTATAGGTGTATATATGATGTAAATGATTTGCATGAAGTCAAAATCAATCAAGTTGCCTTCACGCAACTCCTTCAAACTATTACTCAATTTGAGGAAAATTGATGTTTGCGGGAAAAAAATGAATGTACATATGATTCCATGTGAATAAACCTAATTTACTATCACGCTCAAAAAATGAATTGTACAAGGGAAATACAAAAGCGCAGTTGGTATGTAGATAATTTTCACTGGATCCTAGAATGCCAAATTCTTTTTTATTATGAAATTAATATAGAAGTTGAATCATCCTCAGGAAAAGGACCATCATTCAACTTGACAATGGCAACACGTGTTGGATAGAAAAATAATTTCATACTGATCGATGACAATTCCACAAAATTTCTTGTTCTTAGTCGAATTTCTCTTCTTTAAAGGGCAGAATTTTTCAGAATAAATTTACCTATCTACACATGTTTGTATAACAACAAAAGATGTACCTGAGATGTACTAACCTGTTTCTTAAAAATATGACTATCATATGAAAGAAGAGAGTAGGTAATCAGAGCCACCCTGGTCTAACCTTAATAGTTCCACCGTAAACCATGATACTCGGCCGGTTAAGTCGTCCCATTGCCATAATGGTGCCTGGCATCTGCAATAATACGAATAATTTGCAACATTTGAGGACCTTAACAGAAGTAACACCATGACACAAATTTACCAAGGAAATTTATTGAAATGAAGGAAAGGGAACACTATTGACTAATAGAAACCAAATTCGCTAATGAAAGTATTTCATCAACTAAAAGAGGGGATTGTCTGTTCATATATGTAAACTTCTTCATAGAAAAAGGAAAAAGAGTGCATTCCTTTCTGAGAACCTTCATCAGTTAAAAGTAGAGTTGCACAATACTGATATTTGAACTATTTAATGTGAAATAAAAATGCATAAAATTTCCAAGGATGGCCCCTTCTCCTTCATGTCTCCAGGTAAGAATGCTTGTGTGCATAAACTTAAATTCATAAGAGAAGCAACCAGCAAGGATATTGCTCGTCTCATGTTTTAAAATTCAAATTGAAGCCTGAAAATCCTTTTTTCACAGTTGTCAAACTCACCGAAGAAATCTATCGAAGTTTAACTCTTCCATTGCATCTCCTACAACTAACTCGCCTATTTTTATAGATGACAAAATGTCCCATGCACTACATTCAGAACATGAGCTTCTTCCTTCTTTGAAAGCCAGACAGCGAAGAGTGTGACCATCAAAAGCTACAAATGCTCGTTACTAATAGCCACGATACAGATGCAGAAATACACCCCAAAACATTTAAAAAGCTCACATGTTGTTACAATAAAAAAAAAAAAAAAAAAAAGTTGTAATCTTTTACCAAAATGAGCAATGCCATCACACAGACACACAGAATATTCAACATTCCTCCAAAAGGACTCAATTTGTAATCTGAATGACAAAAACACCAAAAGAAAGTAAAATGAAAAACAGAAAACTGAATTAGCCAGAGCAAGATTGAGGGACATTACATTTTTGTCACAACCAGGGATGGAAATATTCCCATCATACCACTGGGCAGCCATGACAGTCTCAATGCTATCAGCAATCAAATCTCTTGACTGCAAACTATAGCACATGCCTCTGGTCCCCATTGAAATAGCATCACTAACACCAATGGTGTTGAATCTGAATCCCACCATTCCAGCATCTCTAACACCTTCCCTAACCGCCTCAGCAAGCTTCAACAAATGCATATTACAAGTATTCCCCTCATACCACACTGAGGAAATGCCCACTTGGGGCTTATGCATGTCATCATCAGAGAGACCCACGCCGTAAAGAATGGCCTGTGAGCCCCCCTGAGACTTGGGTTCTGTGATTCTTGAGCTGTATTTGTTGAGTTTAGTAGCGGTGGAGCTTTGGTTTGGTGGTGCAGCAGGCGATGTGGTGGTGGTGGAGGAGGAACGGATGGTGAAGGCGGGGGTAGTTTTGAGGTAGGGTGCATATGGGGGAAAGTGGGTTTTGAGGGGAGAGTGAGGTAGTGGTGCTGGGGATAGTAAGAAAGAGGATTGCATGGTGGCGGATGCAAGCGGCGTCGGCGGCGGCTTGGGTGGTAGGTTGTTGGGGTTTAGAAGAGGGGCTATAAATGAGGAATTAGTGGCCAACAGCCGGTTGACCCGGCCAGTTTTTCAAAGAGGCCTTTGACCAATTAAAAAAAAAAAAAAGCAAAATGTTTAAAATAGTGAAAATCAAGAGAAATCCAAATTTACCCTTACTATTTAAAGAAGAAAGAGAAGATAGTAAGGAAAGAGAAAAATTACTGTAGCACTGATAAAAAAGAAAAAATAGACGACCCATATTTAAAGTTTTTATGTTGATTTTTGGAAAAAAAAAACATGATTTTATATACATGTGTTGATTTTTGGAAAAATACATAATTTTTGGGTAAGCATAATAGTTTGGAAGGAGGAAAATGGAGTAGAGATCGTTGAAAATGGAGTTTTCCGGCGATCTCCACAAAGGAGACGTAAGCCCAGTTGATTGGACCGATTAGGCATGCCCAGATGACCCAGACTCACCCAGACGGCCCAGTTGACTGGGCCGTCTGGGCACCCAGTTGACTGAGCCGGCTGGGTCAACTGGGCCATCTGGTCGCCCAGTTGACTGGGCCGTCTGGGCGCCCAGTCAACTGTGCCCAGACGACCCAGTCAACTGGGTCGCCTGGGCGCCCAGTTGACTGGGCAGCCTGGGCGCCCAGTTGATTGGGCTGCCTGGCGCCCAGACGGCCCAGTCATCTGGGCCGACTGCCACAGGCCCAAATTTTTTTTTAAATTGCTTATTTATTTATTTCATTTAATTTTTTAAGTTAACTATTTATTTTAATTACTTATATTGTGTTGTCTAATATTTAATTATTATTTGAATTGTTTAATTTTAATGTATATTATGTATTTAAAATTATTTCTTTGAAATGCTTAATATAAATGTTTTATTATTTATCTAAATATTTATTATTTGCCAATTTAGTTTTAATTACTTATTTATGTTAAGTAATAGTAAAAAAATTAAAAGATATAAAATTCATATCCGATTAACTATATTATCAGAAATTAGATCTGAAATGAAAAAATTAGAAAAATAAAAATTTTATTTATTATTTCATTGAAAATCATAGCCCCAACAAGATTTTAATTAATTATTTATTTTAAAAAATATTTGATCTATATTGATGGGCTCACTTATTATAATAGAAGGTCTAAAATATCATTTTGGAATGTTTTAGTGATATCGGATCGGATCGGTTCAATCAAATTAAATTTCTGCAAATCAATTAAAATAAATTTATAAATATTAAATAAGCAATATGCATAAAGAATTAAAAAAAGTATTTAAATATTAATAAAAAATAAAATTAAATTAAGTGTTAGTAAAATAATTAAAATAAGCAATTAAAATATTAAATAAATGATGAAAATAAGTGTTAGTAAAAAAATTAAACGAAATAATTAAATATTAAATAACTAATATACATAAAGAATTTGAATAAATATTTAAACATTCATAAAATAATAAAAATAAGTAATTAAATTAGAAAATTAAAATATCAATCAAATTAATTATTTGTAAAGCATTTAAATAAATATCAATAAAGAATTTTACTCATTTTTTATTTTTTAATATTGAATTTAATTGTTTATAAATATTTCATGAATTATGTAAATTGTTTATTT